TATGATTAGCTCGGCGCCAACGAATCGGGAATGTATTATTTTACCAGATTAGTCCCCCGTCAACCGCCGGGACCTTCCTTTCCTGCGCAAGCTTTCTATCCTCCGCTATGGTCCCTTCCTCCTGTGACACCAACACCTCGTGGAAGTGACGCGTATGCAACACAATGGTGTTTCATACAGTAGAAGGGACACAATCATGATATGACGGTAGATTTTTCGCTTCCCTTCCTCATCCTCCCTTCCTCTCTCCACTGCCCTCCAGCTGCCACTGCAGCACCATGTGGAATGAACGGAAGTGTGCTAAGCAGGTGTTTATATAGCCCTGAGAGTGTTATCACAACTATCCTGCTACAAAACATTGATATCTCAAATCCTGTAAGCTACCCGATTTGTTAGCGGTTTGTTTATCCCATGAGCTTCCTTCTCACTCACTTCATTTTGCGGACGGACACACATACATACATACATACATACATACATACATACATACATACATACATACATACATACATACATACATACATACATACATACATACATACATACATACATACACATACATACATACATACATACACACACACATACAGACATACAAACCGACACACAAAGTTAGCGCTTTATAAAATAGAAGGATTATTGCCGGTCTAGAATACATATTCGTAATGAACTTTTTGTTTAGGCGGTCGCCACTGGTCTGGTTGCAGTCGGTTTTGCCGAATCTGTCGCACATCTCTTCGAGTCAGAAAGCCATACTTTCACGAAAGTGATCGCTATCGCCACTCTTGCTGTGTTGACTGGTGAGTCGCTTGTTTTTAGTTCATTATCTGCCTTTGAGCAGTGTTGAGCTAAAACAGCGCCGTTGTGGGCGGCGACGGGGAGGGTCTGCGCGCGCGGTTACGGTGAGCTAATTAGTTTATGGATGGATGGTCAAAGGTATAGAAAAAAGTATCCGGGGAATCTTGAAAATTCGGATGGAGAGTTGGAAATAACGGGTGCGGAAGACATTGGGAGGGCTTAAATTTCGGGCAGCGGATCCTATGCTAAATATGACAAAATATCTGCTCGGCACCGCCGTTGACGCACGCTCCAGGAAAGATGGGACGTTTGGGAGCGTGCGATCTATTGCTGAGCTGAGCTGAGTTGTTGTCCTCCAACTAGACTAACCATGAAAGTTGCAAATAATTATTCTGTTCCCTCGATTCACCACCACTGCCAAGGAGAGCTACAAGAACCTGGGCAAACTTATTTCACGGATGCGCCACACTCTTGATTTTTATTCAGCTTCACAAAAACGATTGATTGTTCATGTGCTTGTCACAGCGACAACTTATTCCAAATAATCGATATGACAGGCGATAAAATACAGGCGGTGTGTCATGGGTGGTATACGACTGCAGCTACTTCTCCTCGGATTTCTCGCTTTGGCAGTGGTCGACTTTCTTCTCGGAGCAATGTTCACATCCGATCCAAGTATGACCATATGAGTGTACCTTTTCAACTTAATATTTTCTTGAAAACTCGTTCTATTCGCCCAATTAATCTACCTTCACGACATTGAGCAGTTATTTGGGGCCTATTTCTTATAATCTTTTACGCCAATCGCCGGCAGATTAAGGGCATTCCAAATTTGTTTGTTGTTTTTCTCACAGGTACAGAATTTTTGCAATCTTTGCCTTGTTTTCTAACTACAAGTATCTTTATCGAGAAGTCCAATTGAGCTTTTTCGAAAAATGACACCAATGTTTGCCGTGAGCGCGGCGTGCATTGGTATTTCGAAGAAAAAAAGCAATTTTGACGTGTTGGCAGTTTTACGGATGAAGTGGTAGACTAGGGGGTGGCGCCACTTGCACATGGCTGGGAAAGTAATCCCTTAGTATCGCCTACGCCAAGCAACCCTACCATTTATCCGAGATCGACTCGACCATATTCACTCAAAGGAACGAAAACAAAAATGGGCAGAGAATCCCATACCCTATCGTACTTAAATGCCATACGATTCTCGAGGGAAGAAGAATGCGTGGCGCATCCCACAAAAAGTTTGTTCAACGTTGAATGCTTTATCATGTTTTTACCGTATACACAATAATTCAACATTTTATCTCGCCATGAAAAAGCCCACAAGACACAGCCGCGATATTTTCAGGTCATGGTATCTCTCGTTTCTCATACGCTCGTCTACGCGAAAACGCTGATCCTATGTATGCACGAGTGAACTGCACTCCGATTGGTTTCGACCGTATCATCCCTGAGCAATCGTTCTTCACCGTTTTCGGAGTGTTCTTCGCGAATTTTCTCGGGAGTGTTGGCCGGTAAGCCACTACTTTTTTAAACATTTCTCACCTGTTTTTGGAAATACACTTTTCTTTCTATTATAGTTTTTCCCTTTGTAAATGACATGATGTGGTGGTTCGAAACATACACTCCCTATAAGACCGTCACACACACAATTTCAAATCAGCGATTCCGCGTCGCGTCCGCACGCGTCGTGTACCAGCTACGCTTTGGTACACATGAACATTGCTCTTTTCAGGTGTGAATATGAGCGGCGATTTGAAGGATCCTCACAAAAGCATTCCGCTCGGTGAACTGTCTGCTGTGGGTGTGAGGTGAGCGTAAAATCTAATTTTTAGTTATATTTTTTAATGATGAGTTCTCAACGAGGTCACTCTACCAACATCATCAAGGGCTTGGTGCCGGCGCCACCGCACTCGCTGCTCAGCGCAACCACCCCCATCGCGCGAGGTGTGTCATTATATCTGCCTTTGGATAGTGTTGAAGCACATTCCCATTTGAAGAAGATTGTCGGGCTCGATTTTTCTAGTCAAAACATAGCCATCATTACCATAAATACCCTCACACGCCACCACAAAGTAGTGATCATGCACGATGCCATGGCTAGCCCCGAATTTGGTCGCTACGCGACCGCGCGCTCTGTGTTGCATATTTGTACGGCTCGTTAGACCATGAAGAACGTGCTTCAATTGTTGATTGACGTCGCTTAAACCCCCATTTTCGCCACAATACCTTTGGCTCAGTTGTTCCGCAAAGGCAAATGATCGCCTTGATGTTTCCAACTGTCAACCTTGCCATTTTCCAGGCTCTTCGATATTGTTTTCTTTCATATTATGATCCTTGGGCTACAGGAGGATCGTCTGAGTCTCATCGTGTGACAATCTCATTTCGAAAGGTGACGTTTTAAATTAATTCAGACCGAATACATAGGCACCGAACGGTTTTTTGTATGCACCGTTTGGTGTTGCTGCTGGTCAATGTGAGCCAACAGGATTCGCGACTAACTCGTAGAAGCGATTTTTCCAATTAATGCTTTATGTTTTAGGGCCTCTAACCGGTGTGGCTCTTCCGGATCGGTCAGTGTATATCTTCCCCTGTCGTCAACGATCGGTTCCCTCCTCGGCACTCCACGAGTCCTTCAAGGAATTGCTGCAGAAGGCATTATACCTATACTGAACCCACTTGCTCAAGGGGTACGCAATTTTTTCTCATAGTAAGAACATCAAGACCCCAGTTATCCCGTAAATAAGCTGCTCCACGCATTCTAGATGGTTCGATACCAGACTACCAGCCGTAACGCCGTCCGGTTGCAGGCGCAGTTCTACACCTCGAAAGTGTAAACTGAAGGCTGAGCGTGATCGACATTTTTTTGGGAACACACGCCAAAAGCAAAGGAATTAGCATTAGCTGTTGATGACCCGCCGCCCACGCGACGCGACGGTCTCTGCCGTATTTTCATATTCATTTATTTAGAGGAATTGTGTCCTTGAGTAATGGATGAATTATTCATTCACTTGAGAGGCTTCTAATTAACTGCCCGGGTGTCCCCAAGAGGCCCGTCGCGCGGCGAAGGAAGAGACGCAGATGCGGCAAAGGACGAGTCGCAGCGCGTGCTATGAGACGTAGTATGGTACACTCTATTTAACCTGACGCCTAACCGCTACAGTATGCGCTGCGACTCGTCCTTTGCCGCGTCTGCGTCTCTTCCTTCGCCGCGCGACGGGCCTCTTGGGGACACCCGCTGCTCTTCCTCTCATTAGCTGGTATTTTGAAGTGTTAACAACAACAGTGTCTCCAGAACAGCTCAACCCGTTTTCATACGCCTCATTACATTGAGTATTGAACTATGAGATAGTGGTCAAACGGGCATATTCCAATGACCCACAATCTTGAAGAGTGAGACGTCAGAGAGGCAGAGGACTCAAGCGCCCCTGCTTCTCTATTGCACCCCTCATTTGTCTGCGCCCCTTACCAAATATTCAGTTTTTCCAGTCGTTACAATTCAATATTCAGACAATTGATCTCGTTTCAGTCCGGCGCCAACAAGAATCCCGTGCTGGCCGGTGTGGTGTTGATGGCGGTGGCGTCGGTGTTCGTACTGCTTGGCGATCTCAATCAGCTTGCCATTCTTTCCACAATGCCATTCCTCATCACATACGCATTTGTAAACTATTCTTACGTATCTCTGGCAATGAGCTACGATCTCATCACTATTAGCCATGTCGCGTAAGTTCCGCCCACATTGTACTGTCTCTTAAAGGCGTGGTTTGCACTCCATTCTTACAGAGAAGGCGACTCCAAATACGGTTCCATGCAGAAAATCGGCGATTTGGACGAGTTGTTCCCCGAGAGACAACAACAACAACAGCAATGCGCAGCTACCGTCGAGGCCGGCGGCATTGTCGGTCAGCCGGCCACCTGGTACTCGATGTTCAGCAATCGCTACATCGCGTTCGTCGGAGTGCGTTTATACTTTTGTATCATTCCATAACAGCGCTTTCGGGCGAGGTGAAATCGCGCTGCCTGACCGCACTACCTTTTAATCGCTCCCTTACTTAAGAATTAGACCAAGAGCCAAATATTGACCATTAGCCCCGCCTCATAACCGTCGGCCTCACAAAATTCCGATTCGAACAATTAAAGCACTGACGCAATCAAATGGTTGTGACTAGCGCCATTACTTATATAGTGAACCTTATTTTTATTCAGATAGAAATTGAACAAAGCCCTTTTATCTTCCAGATAAATATTTGCCTAATGGCGCTTTTTCTCACGCCGATCGTTTGGAGGCCTGCTGTGGGTTTGGAGAGAAAAAAAAAAAAAAAAAAGAAAGAAAAAACAAAAAACACAAGGGAAAAACAGAAAAAAAAAACTTAAAACCTCCCCACTCGGCCCTTTACTGCTCCCACACACCGGATGTGGGGCGTTAGGACAGAACGCGACTTTTCCGCTTTTCACAGCGCTTTTCTTGCTACGATAGCCCCAGGTCCATCACTGAACATGAGTGGACGTGGAGTTCACGCAGCGCGAAAAAAAAAAGCCTTAATGCTAAGACGATGGAAAAGTCGCGGTCTGTCCCAGCGACCCACACACTATGATCAGCAGACTGATCACACATGACCATACTCGCGAACACGGCCAAGTACCGCCTATCAAATAATTCCGCGATTAGCAGTTCATGATAAACCATTTTTATCCCTTTCCTCATTTCATTTCTGGTTCGCCGTCGCCCATTTTCGCCGTACTAATAATTCTCTACTACTACATTGGACGAGTTTGTCCTGCATGTGCACCAGGTGAGTCATTCAGTATTCAGGCCTAGCTCCGATTTCGCCAATCATTTTCTTCGATAATAGTCAGCATGGGCCGCGTGCGTACGCGTCACGGCTCCATGTGAACAACATTACAGACCCTGTCGCAGAGAGATCAAACTGTGGCACACCTGGTAAAACATTTTTATTTATAGGAATCTCAACGTTTTCCATCCCACACATGTTCCGCACAGCTTTCTCATCACTTGAAACCATTGGTGTTTTCAATAGAGGGCCCAGCGTGCTGACAAGGGTAAGCCAAGATGTTCCGAATAAACTACTCTAACATCCTGACTCCTTCATTTAAGGAAGGACCCTCCAAGGACGTGCTTACCGAGCAACTCAACGAATCAAATCCCGACTACCAGGATCGAAAACAGTATCATCATGCCCAAAATGTCACACAAGAATTTGACTAATCGCCATGTACTACATACACTGTCATTGTCAATAGTCGTCCCCTGAGCTTATTTATTATTTTATCACTCTGTAGATTTCTATAGCTTTTACCACTTTGGCCTATCATCTACGTTTCCGGGTTCGATAAATACTTCTGTCAAACTCAAACTCATACTTTCACCAACCGTTTATGTGTAAACAATCGGATAACATAACAATAACAAAAATCTGCCGAATTTAGATGTTCGATGGGTACAGCATCTGAAAAAAAGCACATCGTATATCGAGTCGAAGGATTCCTTCTAGAACGTTGAAGAAAAAATACTATCATATTTCTTTTACATTCGAACAACCCTGATTGCCTTCCATTGATACCACCACTAGGCTACACCGCGAAATTCGTAAAAATTACGGCCTAACACCCTGAGAAAGAATCACACGTCCCTCCCTATTTTTCTATCAGGTGAAAACCTTGAGCACATTTTAGGAAGGGGAAAATAGCGCATCCCTATCCCGCCCAACTGAACCTGGATCGAAGACCCCTTCCCATTACATACCCTAACACTCCTCACTCCACCCTCTTTTGCTCAAAAATAATTTTCTAACGAGTTTGCTTATCTAAAACACAAAATGTATATCAGAATGAAAACGATAGAGCTCATCAAATCAAACAGGATGAATAACTATGCCGATAGCGCCCACTTTGTAAGCGGAGCAGGCGGAATTATCCATGGTATTTTAGGTTGATTGAGAGCTTGCCTGATTTGCTCATCAAACAGACACACAAGTCTTATCGTAAAAAAATAATAGAAAATGGAATCGGCAGTTGTAAAACCAATTCGAAACCAGATTAAAGCATTGTGCGTATTCATTCCCTAATATGTAACCCAAAGAAAACACGGAAATTGAAAAGCTGAACTACTTACCACACGAATTCTGTTTCCCATGGCGTTCGGGGGAAGGTTGTGGTGGAACTTCGCGCGGACGGTTCCAGTGTTTCCATGGACTCGCGTAATTTTGCCCCAGATGGCCCTCGTTCTGGTTGGAACCGTATGACCAGGCTTCTTAAATCATGATGCAATTATTTGACTTATATGAAAAAAGTATGCAAAGAAAACAATGCAAAACAAAAGAATACAGTTAACAAATAGAGCAATAAAAAATTTTTGACGAACATTAAACAACTAAGCTTGGAAGAGCTCGGATTTAAATACGGGAAAGACCGAAACAACATTTCTAGAAGGTCGTACTACTGTAAAGATTTTCTTGGTTTTTCTCACTTCGACAATCATGGCGATGAGACCCGACTACCGCTTCACGTAATACACCGCTAATTTCTAGCTACTGCAGAGATGTCATTCAGACCTCAACAAAACAGTGTCGCCTTCAATTGATTTTTCACATATAGCGCTAGTCTGTTTAGAATGGCAACTTCTAAATGCTTCAAAAGTCAATAGTAGAAGGCAAATATTAACCTAGATATTCTGGAATAATGGTATTCAAAAACCTTTCTGAGATACAAGGGTATGACGTTCATGAAAGGGAAGGGATGAGTAGTGAAGAGGGAAGAGAAGTGTCCAAGTACGAAAGTGGCCTTTTCGCAGCTGAAGCTTCTTTCAGCAATGTTATAAGGTGCAAAAATCATTCAACGGAAGCCAGGCATACCTTAGCGCACCATTTGGCACCTCTATCTACACATTTCAACGGTATCAGCTTATGACGCTTAAGTCTTTCAGAGGAAACTTTCCCAAATGAAAATCGAATTACGTAGAAAACCTGCTAACGAGAAAAACATGCCATTCTGAACTAAGTAAGCCCGAAGCTAATGGAACCAAAAATACGAAATTCTGTAGTAGCTGTCTCCGCGTTAACAACGTAATGCCGGAGCTTGCACCAGTTCCAAAAAAATGACCTCTCAATACTCCTACATATCTGTTTCGCATATTGTTTCGTTTTTTCTTTGTTTGCACTGCGCAAGAAATTGACAACTATATTGAGTACGGATGCTACTATTGCGGCCTCATTAGTAAAGAACTCTGTGCTTCACTTATAGAATGTTATGCTAAGGACAATGAAGAGATGACAAAAATATGAGGCGAATGGCATAGAGAGCTCGGAAAACCGCATTCTGGAAAGAAGTTCGGCTCCAATTCGGAAGATATTTGTTCCGACAACAAGGGAGAAACAAGAAAATCGCGGGAAAAGTAACGCTACAAAGAATGCAACTTAAGCTTCCTCAAACAAAATGTATAAACTAGGATCGCCACCTCGACGATTGATGAATTAGGATGAATCAATAATTCAAGAAAATCTATCCAAGCATGTCAAGTAAAAAGCGGAAAAGCTCAAAAGGAGAGCGTATTGACCTAAAGTTGCTCTGGAAATAAGAGATCACAGGTTCAAAGACACTGGGGCAAGCTCGACCAAAAGGTTGCAATTATACGTAACAACAGTAATAATCTTCTTAAACCGAAGAGCTCCACAAAACGAAAAGAAGTCCGAAAAACAAAAGCTCAATGCATGACCAAGTTATAATATAACAATCTTCAAAAGAAGCAGTGGCTAAGAACAAGAATAAAATAACAAAGAGAAAAACTTCAAATAAAACAACAAGCAAAACGTACGGTGGTCTTGTTGTGGGCCTTGTAGAGATAGACAGCACGCTTTCCTATATAAAATTTGGCGTCATCCTTATTGAACACTCCATCGAGCTTGAGCAGGGCAGTATGCTCGGACTGGGTGCGAAGTCCACGTTTGAATCCGGTGAAAACTGCCTTAACGTAGAGCCTGAAAATGTTATATCACTGCATGTTATAACGATAAGTTGTTTCAAGGCTCAGTTTCATCAGAAATTGACAAATGATGGACGAAATGACAATGCAACAACCATGGGCATCTCCTGAGAGTAACAGGGAAACACCTCAAATCTGAGAGCGCGCAATTGTTGAAAAGAGGAAATGGGGAGATGTCAGTAATGACCTTGTCAATTCCTCACATTCG